CTTTTTCAGGTGGAGACTTCACAAATATTTTCTACTTGCTGAGTTCATTCTCAGTAGATGATCCTTCAAAGTTGGAAGATTTCTTAGAAAAGCTCACAAGTCAGTGTGCTTCTGTGGAAGAACTGAAAGTTGCTTTCAAACCGCAGATGGATCCAAGGTAATACTCTTCTTAAATGTTTTTGGCCCGTGCTTTTAGTTTCATCATAACTATAATGAACTCAGCATGCTGTGTAATGTTTGACTAAATTCGGAAATTTCACTGTTAAGTAGGCGCATCATGATCGACAGCAGTGCAAATTTTTGTGTGTTTTCACCAGTATTTTGTGACTGGTGGATGCTCAGCAGTGACTTGCTGCTGTTGCTGCCCAAGTTGGTTCTTGGGCTAAAGTTGTCTGAGCTTCTGTGTGGTCCTTTTTTTTTTCCTCCACTGACTTTGCTGACTAAGACAATGAGAGTGCCAGATAGTGAGGTGATTTTTATAGAAGAAATAGATTTACTGTGTTCTGCCAGTGTACTGTCGACAAATAATCACTATGTTCTGGGCTAAGTATAACCTAAATGCATGCTTTAGGCTCTGAAAACCGTGTGGTGCCATCCATGTCCCATTTGATGGGTTATGTTCTGCGGCCCAGCTGCTCTGGGCATGGAAAAATGTTAAGTTTTGTTCAACAGCTGCTTATAACAGTGATTGCAGCAGTTTTTCACTGTTTGGAGCAGAGGAAAACAAGGAATGAGTGTGACCCATGAATTTGTGTTGCTTTTTTTCTAGCATCTTCCCAAATAAGGGAGGAAACTAAAGTGGGGATATTTTGCATAGGGTGTCATGTCTCATCCCCCAGTTAATAAGTGTTCCATGAAGGTAATGAACCTACCAAATTCTTAAGCTTTTTCTGTGTGTTGATGCCACAGTTAACTTGTGGAAAGCAGGGAGTTGGGAAGATGGGCTGGTGTGAAACTCGTATAAACAAGTTTGCTGTTGTGCCAAGGTGGTTGGCTGTAGTAGTTCATTGTATTGGAGATATTGCTGATTATTTAAGTTTCAGTGATGATACACTGAAATGAAAGGGAGCTAAATTAAAGTGGTGGATACCACTTTTTTAATTGAGTTCCAGATTTCAGCTACTTTTAAGTTGTAAGCAGATATCATGCAATATGAAAATAGCTTGTGTGACAGATGAGGCAATGTTTTTTTAAACATTATTTTCAGGCTTAGAGGAATGTGAAAGGTAGCTATAAGTCATCATTACGTGGATATAAAGCTTTGGAGGGCCATAGTGCTGTGTTAAAGTGAGTACATAATTGATTTTTGTCACAGCACCTGGATATCATAGATCTGGGCACATCAGATGTGTAAATGAGGTTTGGCTAGTATTTTTTTGTTCATATAAACTCAAAAATTAAAGCACTTATCTCTACTTATTAAAAGTAGGAAAACATAATCTGATATAATGAATTGTCTGTTTTGAGGCCAGGGAACAATGTTTCTTTTCTCCTTTGTTTATAAATGCATGCATAGAAAGAAATAAAAATGCTTAGTGTGTGTTGATATGCTGCAACTTAATGCTCTTTGGTTTTTTATTTTACTTTTTGCTCTAGTGCAGTTACTAATCCAGGAAAAAGAAAAGTTGGATAGCATGGTGTTGAAAATAATGTCAAGCTATTGTACAGCACCAGCTAACAATGTAAAAAGATATAGTCCTAGTCAAACTTGCAGCAAAATTACCTGGATATTGTTAGGAATTTACTACCACAAAGCAATTCTGATTCTGTAATTTAGACTGGCTAAATTAAAAAACAAACAAACAAAACCAAAACACCCAACCTATTGTTTCATGTGACTTATAAATGAGGTATCTTTCCCAATTTGTTTTGGGGTTTTCTTAGTACTGGTAAGATTAGGTGTTAGGTCCTCATTCTGCGTGCTGTTGCAGTATTAATGTTAGGAAAAGAAATTCTGAAAAACTAACCCTATGGATTCTGTATTATCTTGATACCTAAGTAAGATCAAATTCCTTTCAAAGTTCCAAGGGTGTTTTGATGAGAACTGTACATCTAAACTGAACTAGTAATTCTGAAAATCTGCTGTCTGCACTTCAGGTACCACGGGAATGTGAATTAAACACACTGAAGAAGGAGGAAGGAACAGTAAAATTAGTATAACTTATTATAAATTTATTCTGTTAATTACAAAGTACTGTTATTTCACCTCTCCAGTGAAATCATAGGTCATTGTGAATGTTTTCGTATCTACTTTGTGGTTGCAAAAAGACGGTTCTTGACAGGCAGCTCAACTTTAATATCTAATGTGTTTGTTTCTCTTGTTTCCAGACAACTGTCAATGATGCTGATGCTGGCTCAGTCTAATCCTCAGCTGTTTGCCTTAATTGGAACAAAAGCTAATATAAATAAAGAATTAGAACGTATCGAACAATTCTCTAAACTGCAGCAGTTAACAGCAGCTGATTTACTAAGCAGAAATAAAAGTCACTGGAAAGAATGGCTAGAGAAATACAGGTAAGGCTGCTCAGAATTCAGAGCAATGTATTTGTCTTGCATTTCATTTGAGAACAGAGTGCCCGTCTTACAAAAGACATTCTGTCTCAAAGTAAATGGGTTGGGAGGGATGTGAGTGGCATGCAACTCAAGATGTTAACTACTCCAAGATCAGTATCTGTGGTGCTGCGAAAGTTCAAGGGCATCTGTGTATTTTGTTCGCTAGATTTTTCGGGAGGGATAAGGGTGCAGAAATCACCTTGTATCAAATCTAGTATTAAAAATGCTTCAAGAATGCTGATGTTCTAGCAGAGACTAATTTCAGTTGTGAGCTATTAAGTGCTCATTAACTACAGTTGACTGATCTCTAAGTATTTTATCCTTTTACTTTTTTTTTTTCTGAAAGAAAAATCTATATATTAATATAGAAAGCAAGTACAAGTATTCGTAATCAAAGAGAATGTAAAAGAAGTCATGGCCAGAAAAAAAATGTCCTGGCTATTCTAACAGGCATAAATTAAAATCCTAAAAACTCAATGTTGGCAGGAGGTTTTCTATAAAAAGAAGCCCTTAGTAGAGCGTTAGTTGTTTCTGCTTTGTGGATTAAGTCCGGACTCCTTTCCTCACCTGACTGCCTGGAGTTTTGTTCTCCAGCGGGACTGACAGTTTTAGATGGGTAGATGGAAGTGCCTCAGCTGTATTGTATCCCTTTGCTTTTATCAGAACATCAAAAGCTTTAACTAATAAGCATGGAAATACTGAAGCCAAGTTCTGAATGCGAAAGTTTTGGCAGAGCAATGCAGAACAGACCATGCACCAGTGGGGGCGGAGGAGGGAAGGATACTTAAACATGCCACTTCCTCAAACCTCATCAGGACCTGCCCATGGTCTCTGATGCTGCTTTTAAATGAAGAACCGCAAACTAAGGATCTCCAGGGCAAAGAAACGGGTCAACTTTTACATGTGGATCTTGAGCCAAACCAGTTGCTTTCACTTGCTTAATTTCAGAGTCCGTTTGCAAAAAGAAATAGAAGGTGTTGGTGATGCTGATGCATGGAATGCTGATCGTGTGAAGGTCATGAATTCAAACAATCCAAAATATATCTTGAGAAATTATATTGCCCAGAATGCCATAGAAGCCGCTGAAAATGGGGATTTCTCAGAGGTAAGCTATTACTTGTTAACATCTCTCTAGGTTTGTGTGGATGTGTAGTGATGCCGTTGAAGACTGACATTATGCTAGATGAGATTCATCCTGGCAGCTCAGGCAGTCAGAGGACTGGGAATTTGCTGTTTGGAAGGTCTGGATTATTTTTGAGGGAGCTATGGTTTTAATGACTGCAGAAGAAATAAAGGAATTGGAAATCTGAATCTGAACTTCACCAGCTTTTGTAGGCTGATCCCAGGACAAGACGCTTACCCCCGCTGTTACTGTCTTCTGAATGGAAGAGGCAGTTGGGGATGAATTTACACTGTTCTTTGCTGTGCTGTTATCTTTTAAAAGTCCTGGCTTTCACCTGTGGAATTCAGTATGTGGATTGTTACATGCAGAATATGGGAAAATTAATTTATTTTGAGAAATGACGTAAGGACTTGTATTTGAGGCTTGCATTTCAAGTTATTTGAGCTTGAGTTCCATACAGATATAAACTCAGTCAGTTACGATTTTACAGTCTTCAGTTTGATATGCGTGTTGTTCATCTGTTTAATATTTGGCTTGTCTGGGGTTTGTGTATTAAATACAATATACTTGACCATTATTTGGTGTGAGGTTCTTCTCTATGTCATTTTGCCTTCACCTTCTAAATTCTCATAGCCATGCTATATTTTCTTTCTAGGTAAGAAATGTACTGAAACTCTTGGAAAATCCATTTCAAGAAGCAGATGGCTTCAGCGAGGTAAAGGAAGATGCAGAAGAGGAGGGAGCAACTGCTACAGCAGCTGCTTGTGCTCAAGAGACCAGAAGCAGACCACCATATTGCAGTAAACCTCCGCTGTGGGCTTCGGAGCTCTGTGTTACATGATCTTCGTAACTGCCTTGTTTTATTTTTTGCTGTAAACTGAAGACTCCGATCCTCCTTCAGCAGTGAAGAATTCAGCAAGGCAAACATCAAAGTGCTATTAGGTTACTGAAACAACCTTACATTTGGATGCATCTGCAACAGTCTTCAGCTGTGCTTAATTTGAAGCAATCATGGATCATTGGAAGAAACCAATGACAATCAATAATCCATACACATCAGTAATTTAAATGTTTTGAGACTGAAAGTCTTTCCTTTATTCATGCCGCACTGTGAGTAGAAAGCAATATTTTATGTTGAGGCAGGCTGAATTTCGAACATCCAAATGGAGTTGTTGTTACGTGAAGACAAAAATAACAAGTCAGGAATCTGATCTGTTTTTGTCTGATGTCTTAACTAATAGTACTTCTAAGATTTATTTACTGCTTTCTCTATGCAGGGACTTCTAGTCCTCTTTAATGGAGGAATAGGGTCAGTGTTGCTTGTCTTAAGCTATGTTTCAATTAATAGTTCATTTCTTGTGAACCTTCAGATTGATTATTTATTTTTAGAGAATTTGTGCAGGCTAGAGTTTGGGGTGAGCAATTGAATGTGGTGGTTTTGGTTTGTTTGTTTTTTTAATACAATAAGAGCAGAATTAAGGGAGACTATATATATTTGCACTTGAAAATCACAGTGGTAAAGTTTATTCAGGTTCAGTATGTTTGCATACAACGTGTAAATATTTACTAAAATCGTGGATGCAGTTTGTAAGCCAGTTGACTCAGGCAAGGTCAGTGAGCCAGGCTAGCGGGAACCTTACGCTACCCCCGCACTGAGATCCAGGTTGGTTGTCTGTTTGTTGTGTACTCTTAACAGAGTCGCCTCGTATGAGAAGCTGCAGGTGGGGTGCCTCTTCTTTCTCACTGTTCAGTGGGATTCTCCGATTCCTGCTCTGGTCTTGTACCGTTTAATTTGCTTCCGTGGTCTTTGAAATGTGTGCCGAAGCTTGCCGTTCAGGATCATGCTGTTTGAGCTTGTGTGAAGATTACAGAGGATATGGGAGGAGGATGGGAGCTGACTGGTTTGCAAGTTACTTACTGACAGGGTTTCAGGGGGAAGTTGGTTGACTTTGCCACACCAGCAAAAAAAAAGCTGTTCTGTAGTTCGCTGTTACTTCGCTTCCTGAACTTCTTTCTAAAGGATTCTGTTACTGGTTCAGATGCTTGAAATGTTGGCAAAAGTTTGGTTTAGTGCAAAAGTTTCTCTTTTCCAAAGAGACCACCGTCTTACACTGTGAGTTTATGTGCACTCTAGTAAATTCTTCCTCCACCCCTGTGCAAGCTTGGTGTTAACTCAGGTTGGATTGTGCTCTTTTAAGTCTTCCTCAACATACGAGCTGTGGAAAAACGGGGAGAACAGTTGGGCTACTGCTTATCCATCTGTATTAATAACCAATTTGTCCTCCTTGCTGCCACAGTACCTAAGTGGTGCTTTAAATGTAAACATTCATTCTGTCTTGCCTTTGAGCTGGAGAAACTGATGCCGAATAATGACTTGGGACAAACTAGAATCTCTGACAAATGTGGCTCTTTCTGTGACGTTTCGGAGTCCTTACAGAAGAGAACACACCTTCAAGTTTGCCAATGAGTCCATGGAAGAATGGTGTGGTTGAAAGAGGAAGTACCTTGAAGTGGGCAACAAATAATGCCAGCCAGTGCATCTCCTGGAGATAATCCCATTTTTATAGGAATTTCAGGCTGTCATCGGGGATTATCTTTCTTCTGAACTTGAGGGTACTGGCACCAGATCATTTAATGGAAACTTTAACAGGAAGGTAATGCTGGGTAAAAACAGCTGCACCAGGGGAGAGATGGGGAAGGGAAGACACTTCAAACATGCCCCTGACACATGTGCAGAACCAGTGGTCCCTTATGCTGTGCCTGGCGCAGAAGGGAGTAGTGGGGGGGAAGTTACTCCAAGCTGATCCGCCTAACTCTGTGCTGATTTTGTTTCTCAGTTTGTATCTTTCCTTTTGGGAGGTGGAGGGCAACAGTGTTTTGGAGGAGCTCTGCCCAAGCTTTTGTCTTAACAGAATGGTCTAAAAAGTAATGATTTTATACCATACCTAAGGGATCAAATCTTTTTAACAGCATTCTGATGCTGATTTGGAGGGGTTTGAGTAGATCTCTATTAATAATGGTATGGAGGAGGACAAGAATGATATTTATAACCATGTGTTTGGACATAGGAGAACTCAAATTAACCGCCAAATTATTTTGCATTTAAAGACACAAATTATTTTGCACCTATAATGCCAAAATCATGGAGAGAGATATTTTGAAATATTTTGCTAGCTATTTTATCTTTAAGAAGGGAAATGGAACGTAACAGTGAGGAATGAAAATGTGGTGTCACTTCCTGATAAATACATTCGTTGCGTACATACAGATCAAGTGCACATGATCTTTCTAGTGGTTTCTAGTGGCCCAGAAAGCATGAAATCATGAATGCAGGCCCTTGGTGTAGCTGCTTTGGTGTGCCACTCTACGTAAAGTTATATTTGTAATAGATACGCAGTGTGTTCACTCACAGGTAGAAGTACGGAGGGGGCATTCACAAAGTCTTAACTGTGCTGATATTCCAACTGCTCAATTCCTCAGTGCATGCAATAATATCAATGTATTTGAAGCAGAGGGATGATCAGGAGCCAAGCGGAATGTTTGTGCTCTTCCAGCACCCTCATTTCAAAAGCCAGATAGTAGTTTCAGCTCTGCTGAGAGTGAGTTTCTTGTGTTCTTGTTCCTGGAGCAGTGTGGAAGCAGGAGGTTGTTCAGGACAATTAGACCAAACTTTGTCCAGGTAAGAATTTTATCTCTTACTTCAGTTCTTCAGAGAGAAGGGAATACAGCTTACAACATTTGGGAGTCTAAATACTTGAATCATAAATTGCTTTTTGATTTTTACAGCTTGTATTTGCAATAGGTAAACCTGAAAATATTATTTCTTACTGGTCAAATATTCTGCTTGTATAAAAGCCATGGACTTGTGCTCAAAACGACTTGGTGACTCTTCACGTCAACAGCTTTTTGTGGAAGCACTTGATTAGGCTTAGCCTGTGGCTATGCAGCCTGAACTACCCTTGCATAAAAGCAAGTGGTACCCAGATTACAAAACTGAAATGAGAAGCTCTTGGAAATGGTCTCACATGGTGGTGGGACTCCTCTCATGATTTTGTAAGATTTCACCATAACTCTGCTTCATGAGCTCCCTTCCTGGGGCAACAATTAGGGATGTGATAAAAAAAACTCCTGTCTACAGTCAGGCCCATGGACTACTATCCCCTTCTTATTTTCTAAGTTGGTAATGATGACTTTAGGAAAAGAAACATTCGGGCAACTAAGAGGGACCTCAGGGTTTTGGGAAGAATGGTGAAGGGATCGGGGGCCCAAGTGATGTTCTCCTCTATCATACCGACTGTAGGACATGACACGGGATGGAAAACAAAGAGCGAGGATTTAACTAATTGGCTACAAAAGTGGTGTGAGGAACAAAACCTAGGGTTCTTTAACCACAGGCTGACCTTCTCAAGGCCAGGCCTTCTATCCAGGGATGGGGCAGATTTGTCTCCATGGGGGAAAAGGCTACTTGCTGCAGAACTAGCTGGGATCATCAATAGGTCTTTAAACTATATATGTGAAGGGGGTGGGGGGTATTGCCAGACTTGGAGGAATAACAGCTGAGGACAGCCCTCCAGTGTCTGACGAGAGGAGTGTAGGCAGGTACCTTCGGCCTGCTGCCTCAGTGATAGTAGGGGGTGATATGTGTAGTAATGGGCAACACACGAGTTGCCTTGAGGTAAAAGAAAATCCCATAAATAACGGCTCAGGAAATAAAGCTGAGGGGTGCGATGGGGTCGAGAGCCCAACTTAAGTGCTTGTATACGAACGCACGCAGTATGGGCAATAAACAAGAGGAACTGGAAGCCCTCGTTAACCAGGGAAGCTATGACATAGTTGCCATCACAGAAACATGGTGGGATGACTCGTATGATTGAAGCGCTACCATGGATGGCTACAAGCTCTTCAGGAGGGATAGGAGAGGTAGGAGAGGTGGTGGGGTTGCCCTTTATGTAAGGGAAGGTCTAAACTGCCTAGAGTTTAATGTTGGGGATGACTTGGTGGAGTGTCTGTGGGTAAAAATCAAAGGGAAGTCTATGAAGGCGGATATTGTAGTAGGAATCTGCTACAGGCCACCCTATCAGGACGGTGAGGCTGACGAACTTTTTTTTAAACAACTGGGGGAAGTCTCATGCTCACTAGCCCTTGTCCTTGTGGGTGACTTTAACCTACCGAATGTCTGCTGGAAGTATAACACGGCAGTCAGAAAACAGTCTAGGCGATTCCTGGAGTGTGTGGAGGACGACTTCCTATCACAACTGGTCAGTGAACCGACTAGAGAAGGTGCTCCCCTAGACCTGCTGTTTGTGAACAGAGAAGGTCTCGTGGGAGATGTGAAGGTTGGAGGACGCCTGGGGCATAGTGACCACGAGATAATAGAATTCTCAATTCTAGGGGAAGTTAGGAGGGAGAGCACTAAAACGGCCAAGCTGGACTTTGGGAGAGCTGACTTTGGACTGTTTAGAAGTCTGGTTGATAGAGTACAGTGGGAGACAGC